CGGAATTGAATTTGAAGTTTCCTATGAATAAATATATAGTTTTTATTGGAAGGTATACAGTCTGTTTGGCAGCAGTATATGACGTGGATTTCAAAAATTGTTATAATTAATCTACAAGGAATTATGAGTTGTGCCATATATGGTTAGAAAGCTTATTAAGTCTAGTTTCTAACAAATTAAAGAGATCATAATTCTGATTTGGATATGTTGAGATATGACTGTTTTAATGAAAAGAGGTCTGGCTGCCAGTATTAATTAGTTAAGTTAACCATTTGTGTAACTTAGTTGATTTTTGTATAAATGGTCTAAAAAAAAAGGGTTGATTAAATTCTGATCTATTGAAATGATCTTGAATAGGCCATTAATTATTTTTGGAGAAAAACTATGTGGTGAAATCGAATGGAGGTAAGTAGAATCTCACATACTTTGTTTGTTTTCGAATATATGTATATATGTATATTTCTAAATGAATGAATATTTTGTTTCATTATTTTTAGTGTATGAAAATAGGATCAAGCATATGATTATTTTGTGTTTATCTATATAAATGATGGATCATGCTTATGAACGAAATGAGAAAATGATTTATGTTTAAAGAATAATTTTATGATAGCTACGTTTTTACATCCATGAGAAGTAGGATCATCGACACCAGAACTTAGTTCTACGACCCTGGCTATCGGGTAATAGTAGTTAGCAAAGATATGATCATACAACCCTGGCTAACGAGTAATAGTAGTTAGCATAAGCCCTGACTAACAGGTTATAATAGTTAGCAATGGTCATGAGAATAAAATTGTCGATACGGCCAATGTTACGGGTTATAACAGTGACCATAGCTAACGATAAATGAATGATAATGATGATTTATGATGATTTTAATGAATGATCCATGATTTGGTTTGATTATGATATTTGAATGATAGCATATTTTACAATGATTTATGAAGTGACATATTTTGACATTGATTTATGAATTTATGAAATATTTGATAAAACGATGATCTTGAAATGTTTTGATATTATGATTTGATGAATGTTTTGAATGATCTATATGATGTGTAAGAAAATGATGATTGATCTGATAAGGTATGTGAGCCTATACTTACTGAGCTGTGATTTGTTAATTCCCTTTTTACTTTTTCTTTATAGATGACTAAGTGATAAGTTTGGTTAGTCTTGTGTGAAGCTAAAAGATGAAATGAAAAAGATTATTTAGTCGTCGGAGAAAATGTTGACCAATGAGATCTTAAGAGATAGTTTTGTATTTTATATGATTTGTATTTGCACATATAAAGATACATTATCAGTTGGATTAAAGATATTAATTTTACTTGATAGATTATTTTATTAAAAAATTTTAAAATGATTAAGAAAGAAAATTTCGTATTATTTTAAAATTTTTTTAAAATAATATGATCGTGTTATGTTTTGATCTCGGGACGTGACAATAACAAAACCCTCGTAATTGCTTTTTTATTAATTAGAAAGCGTGGGAAAGGGTTGGGCTTCTGTCTGCCAAGCGTCAGCTGCTGTGAGCTGAAAGGGTTGGGCCATTTTGGCCATATTAACACGGTTACTGCTAGAATGTACGAGTTGCAAATTTTGAATAGAATTAAAAGGGTCATGATCGAAAATGATGACATATCAATTGAACAAGTCAACAAAACATCAACATGTGGCCAAACGGAGTAAAAATATTCGAGTTATCCCGTTAATTTTCGAGCAAATTGAACAATTAAGATAGTCAAACAAATTTTTTAAAGCATTTTATAAGCTGTTGGCAATTTAACATGATGCCGCTATCATCTATTCCGAAGAAAAACACTTTTTGTATAAAGTTGACCACCGACAAAAAGTTCATATAAATGTACTTTTCGTTCAATTTTAAGTGAAATTTCTCGTATCTTACTAATGGGCAGGACTTAAGTTTTTTAAGGCGAAATTCTTAAAAAATTTTATTAAAAATATTTAATAAAATGTCAATGAAAAAAAATAAAATGTAAACCAAAATTTATTTAAAATTTTTAAAAATAAAATCTTTTAATTTATCTATTTGAATTTTCAATTTTAATTTTTAATAAAAAGTTTTATAAACTTCACATAATAAATTCTATCTAAATCTTTCCCGTATACTAATAGCTATCACAAAATCTTATTATCGGAGAAACTTGCATTTACTTCTTGTTAATTACTGTAAATTTTATATAGAACTAGCGCTATACAAAATTTTAGTTATTAAAAATTTCATAAATGCATGCTTTGAAAGAGAGCCACACACTGTCACTTAATGAATACTTAACCGTTTTTTTGTCTTTTTACTTTAATTAAAAATGATGAAGCTCTCCTTACAAACTAAGCAGATTTTATAATGAGAGTAATTGATCGATCTCCTGGCAAATTACCATTGGACTAAGCTTGTGAGATATTTGAGAGACAACTGTCTATATTAATATTCTGTGATCAATAATTAGTTAGTGTATTAGATCATATGGATTATTGTCCTTGTCAGGATTATACAAAGAAGCTAATTTGGTTAGATATTTTGTTGATATGCTCCTGATCACCACACGTTTTCTTCATCACACAATGCTGAAAAGAAAAAAGGTAAAAGTTTTTCTCTAAACCTTTCCTGTGATTGTACAACTAATTAAGGTCTGATCATTTTTTGTTGGTGTATTTGCTCTTAAAACAGTTAAACTACATTTTCAGAATTATTATTTGTAGCATTGTGAAAAAGGGGAGATTTTAGCCGTAAAGCATTGTGAAAAAGAGAAGACTTTAGTTGTAAAGCAACTAAGCTTTTGGATGCTACTAGAGAATAGAGGCAACAGGCTGTGCAACAATTTCCACATTTGGTAGATGAGAAACCAATCTCAATTTGGAAGTTTACGGTCCTTGATAGAGAATAGAGATCATAGCAATTCAGGATATGTTGCAAGAGATCTAGATTCTATGTTGGGTCCCAAAAAATAAGCATTGAATCAGATGCTATCTTAAAAGATAAAGAAATATAAAACCAAGGCCCCTGAAAGTAAACCGTTATTCTGCTCATGGGATATTGTAAAATAAAACATAGTAATTAATTTGATAAAAACTGATAATATAAGAAATGAATCTCGGTAACCGATCATGTTTTGACCAATTCTTTTAGGAAAACTATTGTGTTCAAGAATCAAAATATATATATACAAATGAAAAACACGTTGTTTAAAACGAAGATTTAATTTGATTATGATAAGAAAAATAATCAAATTCATATATAATAAAACTTGAACTTAAAATTTTAAATTTTTTTTTTGTTACTAAATTAAAATCTCATTTACTTTAAATGCTTTATTGTTTGTTGACAGTTTGTTGGTGTCTTAATTAAATAAGCTGCATATTAATTAATCTATAGATATTTGAATCTAAAAAATATCTAGAAATGGAATTATTTTGCAGGACATTGAAAAAACTTTTATAAACCTAGAGTATATATCAGAATATTGGAAAGACTACTACCAAAGGCTATGGGTGGTATATTAATTATTACATAGGCTGAAAACGTCTTAAACTAGTCTTGCAGAAATTTCTTTTTCTCCATCGTGTAGGTCTCAACGACCGAGTTAAATCTCATCAACATTAATTAATACGAGTAAACTTTTGTGAATGTTTCCTTCACCTCGACGTCTAATTTTCTGCTTTCCAGCTAGTAATTGGTAAACAGATGACAAACTCAAAGCTCGGAGAAAGCATCGTGGCAATAAATTGATGAAGTCAAAGCGAGTGCGACCGACCGTGCTTGCGTCCGTACGTGCTTGCAAGCCTGATATTTTTGCCATGGAAACAAAGGAATTGATCAGAAGAAGAATCAAGATAAGGGAAAAAAGAAATGTCATGGAACCCCCAAAAGGTCCAAAACCCATACGCCTTTAATATTAAGGGATTGGGCTTCGGTAAGAGGCTGAATATCAGTGAAGAGGAGGAATAAATTTGAATCCTCCATAATCCAAAACTTAATGCAGCACTACTTTCATAAATTCATAAATAAATATTTATTTAGTAGGTTAAATGTACATGATGGGCTTCAAAGGAAAGGAACTTGGTGCAGCACTACTCAGTTGAGTGTCTTATCCAGAATCTGAGTTCAATGGTTTTAAAATACACCAGGAAAGGAACTACACAAGAACAGGATCAATCAATTATGATCCTAAACCATAATGCTTGGAGTCTGAACATGTATTAGAAGTTGCCCCTGGAACTGCAATTCAATGAATTTGCCAAGATTGTCTAGAAAGTACTTTTTTTTAGGTTTTCAGGGACAATTTTTTGTACAGCTTATAAGCCGACAGGGTTCTCCTATGTATTGCAGCTTTGCAAGAGAAATAACTTGCAATATTATGTTTATAAATTTTGTGCGATGGGCGAGGACATGCATCTTTAATTAAAGATTGGCATTTGTCAAATTATGTGAAACGTCGGCAGCCAACCCACAATGAAATATGTCTATCATATCATTACAAGTTCACCATATACTATATATATATGTGGATAGGTTTCAATTATCGCAGGTTATGATTATGGATTATATATTAAAGTCATTCCAATATTATCATAAGTTGAAATAGATTTATATTAGTACTTGAAATTTCAACTTAAATTTTCTGATTCAAATCTTAAGAATGAAAGAAAATTTAATTTATTAATGTAACTCAAAGATGAAGATCCCATCATCTCCATCCATATGCACCGAGTAAAATGACAATAGTTGCTTTATTCTTCAATCTGGGTTATGATGAGATTTACAATAAACAATACCAAAAGTTTTATGGTTTTCCATCAATGTATGTTGATTCATCTGCTGGATAACCCAGTAAAAAGATTTAATAGGGAAAAGAAGAAATTGCAACAGTTGCTGCAGTTATACTCATTGAAAACGGCAAAAGGATACTTAATAGGCATGAAATAGGCTTCCTGAACAATTTCTATGGAAGAATGAATAATTAATAAGCTGTTAATTGAAGCTTTGAATCTTGACTCACTACTAAATTCATGTCACAGCTGCCTGCATTTAGCTACGGAAAGACTCCCTGGGAACTGATCTGAATGATATGGAGTTGGCTACAGCAGGGCACTGATAATTGGTAAACCAACTATTCTTTGAATTGATCTTATCAGCAGAAGTAATTTGACTTTTAACATGGAATGGGAGGGAAAGTCCAATACTTCTTCTATCAAATTTATTTGATCTGTTCATTCAACAGATATCAATATATTGCCAATCATTAAACTAATAAGTAAGATATAATTAAGCAGATAAATGACTGGCCAGAAAGTAGATTTTGAGTGGTAGTAGCTCAATGCAGAACCCATAAATAAAATGTCAGATACAACGGTACCCATAGTTTGAAGCATTGCTGTTTGAATTAAGATCAAATGAAGCATTTTGTAGCTAAATATAAATATATGCTCAATACGATCTATTGGGATTAGGAAAAGCAGGAATATTAATTCCATCTATTGAACACATTGTTGTTCATATCTTTCTGTCAATCCAAACAAAATGTAGAAACACAGCAAAGAACTCCATCACATCTCCTTGAGAAGTTTGTGTCCAATTCTGTATAAAGCATATGCATCAATACATGCAAACTTAACCTGCTCCACATCAAGAAACCTAGAGTCCATGTTCTTTAGGCACTCATCATCACTTGGTCTCCATTTATGGAGCCCCATCGATCGATTAGCAACAGCTTTTAAACCAGGTTGTCCAAAGAAGCTCAATGGGAAATGTACCTTGACCAAGGAACGAACATCAATTTTCTTTGTATAACTCGGTCCATACTCATTCTGGTTTTTAAACACAGTCTCCTCAATTTCAATTCCCGCAAAAATTACATTGGAGTCACGTAGAAAGCTCTCGATAGACAGAGGCATGTCGTTTATGTGAAGGGGTTGGATAACGAGGCACTTGGTGTCAACACAGGGTTGTAAGGTGAAAATTTTGCTGCTCATTGATCTTATCGGATGGGACATCCATTTACAGTTCAATCCTGCAATAACTACTTGCCCATTGAACATGAACTTGGAGCAAATGCTGAGCACCCAATTTTCTACTATCCTTGTCAGTGACTGTTGTTTCAATTATGTTGCCACAGAAAGGAACCAAGTGTACGTAGATGGCCATCTCTCAACCAACGGTACACTACTTTGTTTTCCAGCATCTACTTTATACCCGTTATGCGCATAGAAATCCATTAGGTTGCATTCATTAAACTAGAGAAACTGAAAGGAATTTGACTCGATATTCCCTGATCATTGATCATTTCGGTGCATGCAGATGTAAAAGTTCTTATCTATGTATATGGGCTTGTATTGCTGATGTTGAAGATAATCTTTTAACTTGACACCAAAGATTCTAAAAAGTGATATAATTGCAAGTTACAACGAGGTTTTACGTTTTATCGGTAAATACAACATTTATATACTCATAAAATTAGCTCAGAACATAGTCCTCTGAAATCGTATTGCCAATTATTCAAATAAGGTTTTAGCAAGTACCATTTGTTTTAATTGGATAGCAGAGCCACCTCTTTCAAGTTCTTTTTGATAAAGCATATTATTAAACAAAATTACAAGCAAAAAACCTACTCTGTGATCAACGTTACTTCGCCATTCATGAGTTAAAAGAAGACCATACATAAACACGTAACAACCTTCATTCTTGCACAAACTAAACAAAAGGAAAACTCCCCACCACTCCCACTGAGTTTGCACTGGAATGAGTCTGAGCTCTAACCAGATAACTGGTTCCCTTCATTAATGAACATAAATTCCATTTACGAGGACGTTGATGAACTCATGAGTTGAGCGTCCCAGCCTTCGAACATGAGCCGGTGATCATAACTTCGGCTCCTCATGGCATTTCCGACAAATTACCCACATTCAACATTTGGACTGAGCCTTGATCCATGATTATGAACCTTAAAGCGTCCAAAACCCAAACGTCAATGAAATGATCACCTCCTGTACTGTCTAGTGGGCTTTGCCATAAGCTAGTACACTGTCGATTTACTCCAAGGTATCATTCGGCCTAGTGTTTTTCTACACGTTCAACCATTTTTTCTAAGCCTACTAAAATTTTCCAAATACATTAAGGTAAAGACTTTAAGGTTCCTGATGTATTCCAACGCCAGCAAATATTCTACGTCAACAAATGTTCTCTTCGAGTTCTAACAAAGAACATATTTCTTCCTTTTAAAATATAACAACAACAACAACAACAATAATAATAATAATAATCACAAGTAAAATGCACTGGCAGCTGTGCACTGCATTTCGTGACTGATGGCTGCATATCTTCATAATTGAATTAAAAAAATTTGGGAACCACACAAATCTCTTGTAATAATATATTGGGCAAATTGACCTCACTATGTGATCCCTGTGGCGATGAAGGCTGCATATATTCCTTGATACACAAACCAAAATATACAGCAAAGCCCACGCATTCCAAATAAATCAATGGACTAAATGATATTAATGGCTAACGCCCAGTGGGAGCACCAAAGTATCCACCAGAAGTAATTAAACCAAGCTTTTGGCAGCCAAATGTTCTTACCACCATAAGCAAACCATCAAACACATGCAGGTGTGTACTTACCATACTTCGTTAAGCTGTAAAGAAACCTTAAAATGAAAGCCAAATGAAGTTTCGGATAGCAGATCACTAATTCAGGAAAATCACCTGAATTTCCACAGTTTGAACGATACCTGATTTCAACCAACCAACTCAAATATCAGCTAGCCTAGTTGCTTGTCAACTAATAAAAGCTCCATGATACAATAATATCAAGGTTTGCTGACCACTTCAAACCAAAACAATTGTGTTAACACCAAATCACTTGAAAGAGAAATAAAAACCTGGTAATTATTAACTACCTGGAGAATGGGCACCCCAATAGTACACAAATAACACACAGGAAGTCAAGAGATTTTTTTCCCCCCCCAAAATAATATGAAGGATTTTTCCCAATATTGGTCCAACCACAGCAGAGGCAGACAAAATCAAATAATACAAAACAAAATGGAAAAAGTTCTCGTGCTGTCCTCTAAAATTGAAGAGTGCATTACTTAATGCAAATCAACAATCATTAAGGAGAAGGCTTATTTCCAAATATTTCTACTATAACTAAAAACAAAAAACTGTATCTGACATCTTTAAATAAAGTTCTGGACACAGCCAAATTATCAAATTGAAATTGGAACAACTGCAATAAAACATCAATGAAGCAGCAGTGTTCCCTCCATAACTCTGACACAGAACCAACATACTTACCTAGACTTGAGCTCACCATCATATTACCCCCTACCTGACCAAGATCTGGTGGACCCTGAAAATTTTTGGAGCAAAGCTTTAAACTAATTTGAAAGAAGAAATAAAATCAGCAATACCCACAAGAACAACTCTGCTAACAGCTTTCCTAACAAAGTAAAACTCTAAATTAACAACCTAAACCCTCTACCAATCTTTCAAACAAGTAACAAGAGAATTAAAACAATTGGCTAATGTTTCTCATCCACACAACAAGATTCACATCTTATGCAACAAGATGTTTGCCACAAATTTGGACAAGATCAAGAACAACAAAGGAATGGAGCAAGAAAAGAAATGAACAGAATCAATGATCTTTTCCCATTACTTATTAAAGAGTGAGATAACTCACCAAATCAAGTCCACAGTATATTGATTTAGTACCGATTGGAAGCTTTCCCAAAATCTTCACGCCTCTGACGTTGAAACTCACCATAAGAGTCACGAGATCTAGAAGGATAATTTTCCATAGGATTTGAGTACCTGCCCCTTGAATCCATGGGTAAATTAGCTCCAGCATAATGAGCATTGAATGACGAGCCATCATATTCAGAAAAAGCCTGCTGTTTATAAGCACCAAAGCCAGAAACAGACATTTGTTGCTGCGCCAGTTGCTGATGCCTTTGGGCATCCAATTGAAGAAACTCCTCCCATTGTTTTGTATGTGCGCCCCTTAATATAGCCAATTTCTTGATGTAGTTGTCTCTCATCTCCTTGATAGTCTAAAATTTGTAAAACCAGATGTCATAAAATCAGAATTTCCCTACTGATACAGCAAACAGCAGAACAGCTCTCCCTAGATGATTTAATGATGAACACTACACAACAGCAGTTCTTTCTTCTCATTCCCCATTGTAACAGCAGTTCTTTAAGGACAATGAATTTAACTTTGTAAAAGAGGTTAGATAATTCAATGTTACAGCTCAATGACACCGTAGATACCTCAAATGGCAATCTCTAACATTCAATCCACACAATAAGAAGCCCATATACAATCTAAATGGTATACGGATTTCCATGAACATAACAGATTAGCTCTAGAAGAATGAATAAAAAGGGTATAGACCGAAATCCATACAGCTCTCAAGAAAAATGTGCTACTAAAAAACAAACTGGAACAAAATCCTTTTTTTGGGGGTTTTAGAATCTTGAACTTCATGGTGTCCATTACAGTTAATTACTAGTTAGGAAAATTATAATCACCCTTCGATCCCTAAAGTTTCAAAAAGCTTAGCATATCCCAGAAAGATCTAGGATTGCCAAAAAAGTCAGTTAGCACCAAAAGCCCACACCACAGTCAAACAAGATAAATATCTTACCTCTCGATGCTTAAAATTCTCTTCATCTTCTTCCTTATCACGAATTCTCCCAAGTTCCATTGCCTCGCTCTTATATTCTAATTCCAACTCATCTAATGGTTGAGGGAAGCCAGGGTATTCAAACTGATTGCCAGATTTTAAAACAGATCTCTGTGTCTCAGTATCCCATCCATCAGTTCTATTAGCCCCCATGTTTTGATTATGACCATCATAGGAATTATATGTGTAGCCAGCATAAGGTAAACGACCTGGAGATTTAAAGTGGCTTGAGCGACTTCTAGCTCCATCATTACCATAAGCTTCACGAAATGAAGAGTATGGTAAGCAGTTGATTCAAATGCTAACATAGATCAGCTTTTAACTAGGCATACTATCTTATATTCACGAAGTGAACCCATCCGTTGCAATCCAGAAATGCTTTCAGAAAATAAGTCATTTTGGATACAACCCATTCAATTCGGACCAACTCTTGACATTTACTTCAGAATCGAACACATAAAGCTTGAACATAAGAACTTACCTCTTGCTGCAAACAAATGATAAGCAATAAGCAGCATTATTAAGATTTACAATCATGAAACATTATGAGAGAACACACAGGATAACCTAGAGAACCAACAAGCCACAAGCATGGGATTACCAGCTTTGTATGGATGCCGTAAACATATCCTATGCTGTCCCTACCTTGCGGAGAACATTTAGAAAATTTCCTCAGATCCTCACGGACACGGTCTTCCACAGCCTTATCTTGCCTGCCAAATCTTCGAAAGTGTGATGAATTATGTGGCCCTGAATGAGCCCTTTGTGATGCAGGGCGTCGCAACCGTGCACCAACAGGACTTCGCTCAGGTGACCTTGATCTACTCCTGTGAGAACTAGAAGAATCCCTTTGATCACCTTCATCCTTTATTCTGTGTACAGCATCCACACCCTTTTTCAATATTAACCTATCCTTGCCACTAACAATTATAAATTTATCATCCATTTTGATTTTGCAACCTATATCCTTTTCAATCCTCTGTATAACTTTCTCTGTGAAAAGTGCTCTTACATGTGGTTCTCTAGCAGATACCCTTTCAAAGAAATCTTGAGACTTGAGACTTGCTCCAAGAGTGGAGGGACAACCCTATAAATGTGTCAAACAGCACAGTACTTAAGAAAACAAGAAAAAAATGCTCTCCTTCTCTAGGAAAGCAAGCTCAATAAAAAAGAAACAAAAAGAAAAACGATATTCTACCTCACTCAAACAGGGATATCAGCCATTACCTCAATAAGAAAGTGTAAGAGGAAAGAGATTACAAAAAGATGGGAGCTCAAGAAGGCAATAGTAGACCTAACTAATACCAAGATCACCAGTTATCAAATCCAACACATGAGGAATTATCAAGACAGATGGCTGAAGAACTTAATTAATGGACTGCCAAAACAGGCATCAAGGTTAATTTCTACTCTCAAGTTGGCATGTGAAAGGCTTAGAAGGACCTCAATGCAACTCGCTAGCTGTAAAGGAACACTTAAAGGTGCCACTATTTGATAATATGGAGTGAATAAAACTCCGCTGTCCTGCTCCTCGACCAAAAAGGAAAATTACCAAGCTATCTATCAATTAAAACTGCTGCCAAGGCACAGAGAAGAAACTTTTGGTTGGGGGGTTTACCTATATGTGCACGGGTAATATGCTCACCACACATGCGATTCATAATATCCGAAACAACTAATTATACATTTGCATAGAAATGAGAATCACTTGATAGTTAATACCTGAGTAAAGTGGCCTGATTCTCCACATATTTTGCAAATCATTTCTTCTTCTTTCCTCTTCTTCCAATTTCTCTCGGTAGCCTTGGATTTAGCCTCCCAAACCTTAGCTTCACGGCTGGTGAAATCGGTGGGCACAGCATTTGGGTCACGCTGTTCCTCTTCTTCATCAGAACCAGCATGGGAACGTTTATTCTCTTTCACCCTATCTTGTGCTCTTGAAACCGTAGACCCCGGCGGGCCAGTGTATTCCTTGTAAATTTCACTGAAGTCATCATCGATATCTGGGTCTGGACTGTTTCCCATTGATATTAAAACAAACTAACCATATATAATTTCCTGCGTAACCAATTGTATTCATCAATACCTATTATATGGAGTAACAATTCAAGAAGAAAACTATATATATGAGGAACTATAAAATTACAGCACTGTTTCTAGATTTTGAATTGCCTTCCCATCAATCTATTTATAATAATACAACACCACAAACATAGAAAATTCACTCAAAGAGCAAAAGAAAACAAAAGGCAAAGGAAGGGAAAACGCAGAAAAGAAAAGAGGGCAAAGGAAATTACACCGGGTAAACGAAGCTTTTGAGCGGCGAATGGTAATATTTACTTCGACGATGAATAGAAAGCTGATAGGGCTAGGGCTTTTAATTCTGTCTTGTTGATCATTTTTCCCTAACAAATATTTCATTTGTAACCCCTTTTTTTTTTTTTTTTGTAGAAATTTTATTTTAGCCCTCTTTTTATTTGAAATACATTATTTCCCAACCCTCATTTTTTCCCGGGTGATAATAATAGTTAAAATCTTATCGGATTTTATTTGATTTTTCGGATATTATTATGAATTTTTTCAATTTGATCTACATTCAGAATCAATTTTTATATGATTTAATTTAAATTGAATTAAACTTTATTGGTTCAATTCAATTGGTTGGTTTCAAAATTTTTATATTATTTTAATATAAATTTTTAATATTTTAAAATAAATTTGATATAAATTTATTATTTTATTTTATTAAAAAATATATAAAATTAATAAAATATATAATTTGATTCAATTTATTTTTTTTTATTTTTTACCTCTCCATCTACAATCAAATTTAAATCTAAAATCGAATAAAAAAATAAATCAAATTAAATACTATAATTTCAAATCAATTTTCAATATTCTCAAATTTTTTTCTCACCCATACTTTTTTCCTTCACATTTTCCCCTACTTTTTTATATATTTCTAAATGAATTAAGTGATTTTTTTCTTTTTACTTGCAATCATTTAAGAGTAAATTTTGATTACTAAAACAAAAGGTATAATAATTTATTAATAAATCATGTAATTATTAACTATAATTGTTGCTACTAAAACGATACCTTTTTGAATATTTATTTATCTCATTTCTTTATAACAAATTTTTGCGTCCATTCTCATGACCATATTAAGTGAACAAAGGTACAAAAAATGTGTGATTACACAATACATTCTTTTAATACCCATTTATTGCTTTGAAATTTTATTTTATTTTTTATACAAACAATTTTGAAAATTTAGTAGATATCTATATATCAATAATTCATAAAAAACCAACGTTCTTTAAGATATTTAGTAAAAACTGCAGTGATTCATATATCAAATTTCAAAAAAAAAAAAATTAAGATTAAGATTTGTACTTAAATCTTCATTGATCAGAGCAAAAAAAAAAAAGAAAAGAAAAAATTTTCTACTTCTACTTTCTAAGGCCCTATCGGAAAATATTAATGGACTATCCATCAGAACCAAAAAAAAGTTCCATGGACTAAAAATAATGTCTTTCTTACTTCTGGACCCAGCCTAGCCCACCTAAAATCAAAGGGATCCATTTTGATTTTATTTTCCCCAATTCCCTTTATGGGTCCTACATTCGAATGATATCTTTTCCCCCATATTATAATTTTTTTTATGGTTGAAATCCTTCAGCCGCCCAAATTTTCTCCTGGTCTTCCTCGTGTTCGTTTCACAATATTTTTCATCTAGGGTTTTGAACCAATCGTAAGCATACATGGAGAGACGTAGGGACCGCGGAGAAAGGTTCAACGATCACCAACCGTTAAATTCGACTCCTTGGTTTACCGATAACCACAGACCTAATTTCCCTGCCGACCACCACCATAACCACCACAATCACCGTTTCAACCACCACCATAACCACCAACAATTCGAACGCCAGCCTAGCCAGCATCAACGCTTTGAGCACCACCAATAATTTGAACACCAGCCAGCGGTTCCAATTCCGGTCGAAAGAGAGGTTTCAAGTTTCAACATTTCGGTCGAGGAGCTTCTCTAGGTAACATTATATTATCCTATCATCTTTTAATTCTATTTTTACTATTATTATACTCTTAGGTAATATTTGGTAAACAAGATAATGATACGATATACGATAAGATAATATTATAAATAAGATTAAATTAAATAATGTTATGTATTTTATATTTGATGTGTATAAAGATTAAAATATGATCATTTATTTATCGGTTAAAATTATTTTTTTTTAAATTTATATAATTTAAATTATTAATGTAATTTTTAAAGGTATAATAGGCATGTAAATTTAATTCTATGAATTAAAAATAATCTTTTTCATTTTGAAAGGATTGAATCATCTTATACTATAGAATAATTATCATTCTATCTTTTCTATCATCCTATGCACCAAATATGACCTTAAGTATTTATGCTCACATCGGTTTTGCCCAATTGCCTTTTTATATTTTTCATGGGATTTATTTCATTATCTGTACAATTTATAAACATTTTTGGAAGGTCACTACATTCATAATTGCTTTTCATTTTTCTTAAACAAATCAGAGCATACTGAGGGAAGCAATCTTGCAAAACTCTATGAAGCAATGATTCCAAGAACAGCAACTGAAGAAACCATAAGCCATTATCATTGTCTTCCCTATTTTACGTCTGATACTGGTTTCTTGAATCTATATCTAAAAAATGTGATTGGTGAAGGGGACTATGCTTCTTATAGTTATTAGTTCCCACTTCTTACCATAACTTTCTCATAGTAGTTCATTGAGTATGTGAAATGAGTAACTGTTGGATATTTTCTTCTTTTTTTTTTAGATCAGCTCCTTGTTTCAAGAACATGGAAATGGAAATGTTGTTGAGGTTATTCAACCAATGGATAAGAAAATCGGTGAACAACATGGTATAGAAATTTTTATAATCTAGTTTGGGTTATGATTTTATTTGTATGCAAAACTGGTGAGGTTGTTCTAAACAAAGTGGCTGTTCTCAGAAAATAAACTGCGTTCAGACACTTGTTTGTTTGTCCTGGACTTGTAAAGTTGCAACACAGAACCTTCCACGGGTGTTGGTTACAGTTTCTTGGTTAAATGGTTAGTGGTTCACTTTTTAGTAAATTGGCTTTTTCCAGGAATTAAATACTGTCAAAGTAGGATATGCTTATGCTGAACAAGACTGCCTTGGTAAGTGTTGACTATTTAGAACTTATATGTATTGCTTTTAGACCTATTCTCAATATTCTACACCTAGAAAATCCTGCCAACTTTTAACACATTTAACTGTTAAAATCTGCTATGGACAATATGATTCTCTTTGCAGAGGAGTCTTTTATGCAAATGCGGATAACTGAATGAACATAAAAAGGCTTTTCTGCTTATACCTTGAAAAGAATAGGTTTTTTTTCAAATTTTTGGGGCCTCAACAGGTTGTACCTTAAAAAAGAACTCTTGAATTTATATAGGAAATAGATGTAACTTTCACGTCATTTGCAACATTGCATGCTTGTTCTTCGTTCTTTGAAGAATGATTTGTCATGATACCTGACCCGCAATGCCCAAGCAGACTCCTGTGAAAAGGATTCACTTAAAAAATGTTGACGTTATTATCTTTTTCCTTCTCTCTGTTTACTTTTTCCCCTTTATGTTGATGTGCTGTTAATTTAATATTTGACTCCAATGTAACATTTTACTCACTCTCCATAGACTGGAATTAGCCAAACATTGTTTCTACTTCAATTGCACCTATAATACCCCAGTCTTGAGAAAGTGGCTCCACCTTAGTGTGACTGGACACACCTGTCCAGATGGAAATAATTATTACTATAATTGTGTCACTTGTGAAAGCATAGTTAGTTTCCTGCCTTATATATCATTGTTGCATTTTGCAATTTGTAAATTGTAAATTTTCTTTCCAAATGATTTGAGCAATCTACATGATGCAGTGGAATAAGCCAGAGGAATTCATGTTATTTGAGAAGCTGTAGCAGAAGCAGCGAAAGCTGCAAAATCCTGGCCAACAGCTTCATTCTCACTAAACTGTTCCTTCTACATAATGAGTTTCTCAAAATTCAGAGGTGCAGGTTCAGACCTGTCTCATGCATTAGAAACTTAAAGTCCAAGAGCTTTGTCTACATTGGTCAGAATTTGTGCTTTTTTTTCTTTGAACATGTTTTTAATATTTCATTTTTTTGCATTGCACCCTTTTTTCAGTTCAGAGATGTGGTAAAAGTAACTGATTAGTAAACTGAGATGGATGATTTAATTTAATCTCTTTCATGTGTTTTGCATCTGTGGATGCTTCATGTTGTAAACTATTCTCTTATTATGTCATTTCTGGATGAAGGTATGATTTGCTTAAATTCAGTGTATCCTGATTTTCCAGGGACTGGACCATCTGCAGATAGTGTCAGAAAAAAGTCCAGTTGTTGATACAACTTGTGTTTAACTGTATCAGGTTCCAGCATCCTAATTACACATTCTCAGGGAATTTGCATGTTGCATAGGTTATTGGTTGCCCCATTTTCTCTAGCCTCTCATGCTAGTTGTGTTCTGTTAACAAGTTGCTATTTGTGATAATAGTAAGAAACACATGTAGATAAGGCACATGTGCTAAACTTTGGAACACTCATTCTCCTCAGCCACCTCGGTCTTCTGTCTCTCTTAATTTGTAGTTTGAGTAGCTATAACTTAGGCTCCATTTTGAAGAATTTTGTTAAAGCAGAGAGTTTTACAGAACCACACGGAATATTCAAAGATTATCCTAGTCTACACTGTTTTGCTTTTACTTTACTTGCAGTTGCTCACTCTCAAAAACAAGCACACGAAGTGGGGTAATTTAATTAAGAACTGTAGTCGCAGCTTTGTAAAGCATGTTTTAGACTCGGAGGGATGCTGCTGTCATTGCTGTCTGAGCGATTCTTTCTAGGACATCATCTAGTTGTTATTAGGGTACATAAGTTTCGTTTCATATACATAGTAGTTATTTATTTTTTTATCCCCTTCCTTTGATCTCTTGTTTCCTGGTTTAAAGTGATTAAATGTTGGTAGGATAGCAGGCAGGATGCTCATGTAATCACAATCCTGTTAGTGAAATACTGACTCTTGTTTGTTTTTGTTAACTTATGTAAACGAGATTTACTATTCGAAATTGAATGTTAGATCCGTTGCTTTCAACATTAAATCTGTTGCTATATGTTGTTTTATTGCAGCTTTAAGTGTTAATTGTACCGAATGAAAATGGAAATTTACAGCTATGCAAGGCAGTTTGTTAATGTTTTTACCCTCAAACCCATCGCGGGCGAGTGTTTTTGGACATGGCCATTAACACGGAAGCATGCGGAGATGTAACCGCTGTCAGGCTTAAGACTCCTTGGTGATCATTTTAGGTTTTTATTACATCGGAATTTCCTGAGGGGTTATTATTAGGCCGAACGTTAGGCCCACGTCACGTTTCACACTTTGGTAACCTACGCATTAATTGCAGCGTATGGATAACTATTCTTTTATCTTAGCTTGCTAAACGGCCTAGGTTAACCGCTCTCTTCTCAGGCATTCAAATATAGCTTTCGGGACTTGGTGTATATTCCCACGTTGCTTTATTTGCTACCATAAATTTTCTTGAAAATGGCCAGTATTACAGTGCAATAAAAGTAACAGTCCTAGGCGGACTGTAGTAGGCCCTAGGAATCACGTAATGGATTATTTGACTGAACTCGAGGTTATTCTTTTAGCTACATGAAAGGCAGTTGATTTGCCATTTTGCGTCCATAACCATTTTCCCCAATGATCAACCAGGCAACAATATATTCTTGGCAGTGACAAATTCACATGGCCAGCAGACATACAACCACAAAGAAAGTGTGGATAGCGATTTGAAATTCAGCCCCATGATATATACCAGAATAAAAGAATCATGCTCCGAGCTGCATGTCTATGCAAAAGGTTTTCATCTCTCATACAATAAATTGAATACCCACCCCACCATTCAATGAACCAAATCTATGAGATAGACGCAAGAAAATTGGAGTTATTTATGTAACTCATGCAAAAAAGAGGTCTAGTCGAGTTATTGTTCCATCAAGCATATACAGATACAGCACATAAATTTTCTTTCGCACCAAATTCTTACAATTTGCAGGCCTCATCACTGCTACGAAAAATTTGGATTTCGTCGATTCCCAGACAACTAGAAAGCTTTTCTAGCTTCCACATTAATTGTTCTCTGAAGAAACCCTAGCCCTCAAAATCTCAACTGTAGTACTTTCAATGGGAATCGATGCACATTCCTTGAAAACAAAAACAAAGAAATAGGACAAACGAGTTGTCAGAAGAATTAAAGAAGAAAGAACCAAATTTCCGTGGTGTATAATCTCTACATATCAAGAACCACCAAATGAGGCAAAAATGACAAAACCAGCCCCAAATAAGAAACTAAATTCCTGCATTGGATCAAAAAGTAAAACCAACACTGTAACATTAATATTCTTCAAGGTTTGTATAAAATAGCAGCGGGTTCCTTGTACAAGAAAAATCGCCACCTGTCAGCATGAAAATTACATACCAGCAATTAACTGATCATTTTCCTTTTTCATCGACACCTCCTTTCACCCAAGTCTGTGAGAGAATTACATATAGCGGTAATGGGTGTTCTAACCTACTCTTCTTTCATCATATGGGACGGTATAATGTCCTGAAGCAGGCCATGGTCTTTAAACAAAGACGGCTCTGGGGTGCAAAAACGCCTCTCATGAATAAAACTTGCGTTAATAGAACCATTGTAGCCGAAGTTCAAAGGAGACAAGCTATTGGAAAATGGCTGTTGATGCTGCTGATAGTGAGATGAAGCCCTTTGCATTGGCATGCCAAAGGTTGCTTGGGCTCCGGTAGAAATGCCTGAACTCAGATGAGCACTACCAATAATTGGTCGAGGCATGACTGGGCTGGGGTGAGTGTGTTGGCCTTCGTAAGTGGTTACCACAATGCTCGGATCACTGAAAGATCTCTCAACTCTTTTCTTCACATTACATGAGGTGCTGGTGCAACGATAATAACTCCTAGGGAAATTAGACAGTGCAAATTAACCCATCAAATTTGTTGTCTGAAAATTATCTAAAGTGGTAAAAAAGAATAGAATACAGAATGAAGGGACTAAAATGGGTTAAACTTTGAACATTGAAGTTGGTACCTAGGAAACGGGCTGTTTTTTACAGCTTTTTGGCCGTACTTTCTCCATCTGTACCCATCTTCCAAATGATCAACCTCGCTCTTCGTCATGAACGCGAATCTCGGCTCTCTCTGTCTCTTCTGATTTGTCTTCTTGAGTTTCAACCTAGACCCACCATCACAAACGCCAAAAGGCAAAATATAAATAAATAAATAAAACAATTCTCTTCATCCGCTTCAAATCAATTTGATGAAAAACAAAAACTTCATTTCTTTTCCAAATTAGTTTCCAAATGGGGCTTCTGTTTAACAGCAAACCAAAATACAAACTCAAACATAGACATAGACATAAAAGACCCTTCTTTGTCTTAGTCGTTTCTCACACGGATTTCTCTCTCTCCTTCTTTTTATTTTAAGAAAAAGAAAAAGAGAACAAATTTAAAAAAAAAAAGGTAACAAAGATAAAGAACTATACTCACTGTTGCTTGGTTTTTTGCTGGTCTTCTTCTTGGTCATCTACTTTAACAGGCACATCATTGACAGCCTCACTTGATGCTGATGAAATCGAGGAAGAGTTGGGAGTAGCAGGCTGATTAAAAACCTCAGGAGACTCGATCTTCGTGGAAGAATGATTCATGGCTTGGGTTACGAGAGATGGAACCTGCTTTGCCATATCAAACAAAGGAGGACTCAAGTCCTGAACACCCAGCAACTCCATAAACCCTAATGGGATCGTCTCTCCTTCACTACTCAAATCAAATATACTTTGTAATGGGAAACTATTCGCTATATAATCAGAAAATGATGAGCTTCCCAATACATCTTCCATCTTTACACCCTCTTTTCTCTCCATGGATCAATCAAAAACACCAATTTCTCCTCATCAAAAACCTTGCACTCACAAGACAGAGAGAAAGAAAGAGAAAGCTTTGTTTAGTGAGAGAGAAAGTAAGAGTAGATTAGGGTTTGATCTGATTTATAAGGTAGGTGAGGAAGAGAGAGAGTTTTAGGTGTAGAAGAAAGTGAGATTTTTTGCTAAAGGAAAACACAGAGAGAGAGAGCGAGAGAGCTATAATGAGGGGTTGGCAAAACGGCAACAAAATAAAGGATTGACCGGTAATTGTAGGTCAAATGTTGGACCGACATTCAACAGTGCCGGTTGTCATTCAATGCGTGGTCCAACAATGTGTTAGACGACGCTTTCAAGTGTGAACGGAGTTCCTCTCCACGAGAGATTCTTACGGCGTTAAGCACTTGGCTTTGGTGGGTGTATTAAATTAAACTCACTCCGTTATCCGTTGTTCATGCTCTTGTGTTTATTGATGCGCGCGTACTAGTGAGTATGAATTAATTTAAATTTAATCTTTTTTCTAAATGATTTAAAAATATACTTTCTCACGTCAACTTATTAGATTCAATATTTTATTATTGAAACATTATCTCTTACAGTAATCCACCTTTAATTAATAAAGAAATAAATTCTTCTTAATTAATCAATATAAATTTCAATAATATGTGACTATGTGGGATATTAGGTTATATTTAAATTTTGTATTATTTTCATACAATCACTTTTAATTTCAAATCATTTAATAAACTTCTAAAATAATTACTCTCTATAAGATTTTTTTTTTAATAAAATGGGGCAACGTGTATGGTGGTGAATTTCGTCCTATAAACAAACAGATAATCATTATAAGATAATTTTATTTAAGAAAATAAGATAACGTATTAATGTAATTTGAGCTTAATATATAAATTTAAAAAGTAAATGAGACTTTCGTCCCATAAAGGAAAAGATAATGTAGGGACTACATCCTATATTATAAAAATAACTACATTACAATACTCTTGATTGCATTTGTTAATGGAGGGTAAACACAAAACAGAACCTTTAAATATCAAAGGGGATTCCCTTATTGATGCAAGAATTTTAGTCTAAGTTGATTCCACTGTTTGAATAGTTATCGAAAGCATGAAACATTCGAGATTGAACATTTTCTCCTATGGTGATGGCATCTCTTTTCTGACTGAAAATTTCAAGTTTTGGCTTATATTCTTTTTTTCCAATTTCATAACTACAAAAAACCAAAATCCTTTCCCTTGAGATGTTAAGAAAAGTAAACTTTAAAACACATTGAATTGCGGCTTAGAAATTAAGGACCTAACGGCTGGAAATAGTGGCTTGAAAATCACAAATTTATCAGTGTACAAAACCCCCTGTGCTAGGAAATGAATCAACTTAAAGATCTGAAATAAAGCCCTAAAATTTTTGCATATATACTCAATATTCACTTATTCAGTCGGTGATAATGGATACCTTTTTCTTTTTGCAGCGAGCGAAAATCCCTATGAAAAAGGCAAAAACGGAAGAAGATCAGAAATTCTCTTTCTTTTGCCTTTAGGCATTGGGGAGGGAGGAAATATATGAAAAAAAAAGAAAAAGAAAAAGATAATGCACGTGCGGTGTAGCATGAAGCACAGTACAAATGGGTCGATCCCACGCTGACATAATTTGCGTGTAAGTTCAACTTACCTTTGCATGCTTCAATAATTTGGTTCCCAACTTTTTTGGGTAAGGATCAATTTTGCTTATTCTTTTCACATTTTTTTTTAGTAAATACAGATAATTTATATAATTTAAATAATAATTTAATTGATTTATATAATATTTTTAATATAAAATTTTAAAATTTATATTTAATACATTTTTTTCAAATTTTTATTTCAATCTTATATTTTATATATTCCGATCTTTTATCGCCTTGTCACACATCATTGGATTTTCCTTTCATCCCAATGTATTCCGTTGCCGCATCAATGGCACCCTTGTTGGGAGGATAAAGATGAGTTTTTTTTTTTTTCCATTAATATATGCACATTACATGTTTGTACTTTTTTTTTATTAAAATAAATAGTATTGACATGAAGCAGTCACATAAATTTATGTATTTTAAATTTAATATTTTAACTTATGAAATTTCAATCTAAACACTCAATAATATTAATTAATTCAACAAATTATTTTTTTGTTTTAATTGATAATAAAAATTTTTAAATATAATAAAATATTTTTCATAAAATAAAAGAAAAGAACCCACCCAATAAGTAATTCCTCAAGCATGTAAATCTCATAAAATTAATTACAAGTGAATGTGCATTTATATAATACTATGTAAGAAGTGTACCATTGGTTGTTTAAAAGAAATGAAACTGTTTTTGATGTAAGAGAAAACCCAAAATCATGAGTCATGTTACTTTGTTTTTCACTTGATTCCATGTCAACTACTCCCACCTAGTATCTCGTGAAAGATATAAAACGACTAGCTATGTGACTGAGATATGTACGAAGGAAATTACATTAGCCTATCATTGCATGAAATTCTCCCCCTAATGCCCCAAACAACACTCTTATCCACTTGTAGCTTTCATAATTGTCATCCAATACGATACCATATTATACTTAACTTGGTTTTAAAGTTTAAAATAAACAAAGTTATTTATCACAATCCAACAAGAGAATAATTAATCAGGTAATAATTCTAGTTACATTAGAATTGATTTTTTTGTTTTTTTTTTCATAAAACGAAAGAAAAAAAAAATTCAGGGTAAAAACAAGATTTATTTGGTAGAATCTAAACTAAACACTACAGGATAAATTAGATGTTTAGTTATCTAATATTAAATAAAATTTTTTATTTTAATCACTTAATTATAAAAGAATTACGATTTGATCACTATTATAGGCTAATCACGATAGATCACATGTTGAGTGTAATCTTGGAAGACTTGACACTCGATAAGCCATCCAACAACGCCATAATTCATAGGGTGTAAAAAGGTAAAATCGAGTTGACTGTGGGCCATATTCTCTCCACTTCTTTAAGTCACACATACTCTCCCGCCCTTTGTATTTCTTTTGCCATCTCTTTCTTATATTTAGTTGATTTGAGCATTTTAATGGACTCTAAAAGTTTTTTTTTTTTTTTGACATCTCTTAATTTTTTTACAAGCTATGTCAATTGTCTTGCTTATCAGTTTTTAGCAAACTTTTTCATCATTCGATCCAAAAAATACATCAACAGTGCCAATATACCATGTCATCAGCACACTAATGGTTTGATAAGAAGAAAAAATCAATGATCAAATTATAAATTTTATATTTGATTGATCAAAATAAAAAATTACTTAAAATCATATTGCTAAAACATGATAATTTTTTCCCAAAAATTTTAATCCGAAAATCTATGCTTTTCTTTGCCACAACGTGTAATCAATTTTTTTTTTCTTGTAAGCCAAAAATGAGTGTTGAGTTGGTCACTTTATCTAGTTTTTTTTTTTTTGGGTGACTTATTCAGTGAAATTAACCAAAGGAGGCCACGACACATGGGCCGGCTGTCCCCATTGAGGCGCGGACACCGATGGGCGCGACCGTTGGAGCCGTTCGCCTCCTTTCTCAATCCCACACGTGGTGTTTAGCAACGGGGCTTGCTTGTGGGGACCTGCGTTTTATTTTCTTTTGGAGTCACCGCCAACATCCACGTGGTTGATCCAACGGGTGAGATTTGTGTGAAGAAAATGACATCCGGAACACGTGCCTTTGACCGTTCCGTGAGTTTGGCATTTTGGCCAAAAAATGTGTTTCATACCGTCTCCTCTCCAATCCCGTTAAGGTTACATGATTTGAGATCATTTTAATTGGACCGTTCATGTTTTTTTCCAAAGCCTTGTTCTGGCATCCTTTTTTATTTTAATTTTAATTTTTTCATTTCTATTACATTTTACACCACATAAAATATCAAACTTTTTATTTTTTTTATCTTTTATCTAAATTTTTATCATAAAAAAGGAAGATTTAATCTCAATTATATGAAAAGGGGTTCATGCACCTACTATTCAACTATTAATTTTTCGAAAACACATTAAAAAGGTTCGTGATAAAATTATACTTTTCTTTATAAAAAAAATTTTTGGAAACATAAATAGAAAGTAGACTCTATATTGAAGAGGAAGGGAAGGGGATGGGGCGGTGGGCAAGTTTGTGCGAGGCTTTGGAATCTTCTCGGGAGGAGGTGGTTTGCTTTAGATGCACGCTCCAAAGATCTTTGCGATTCTTTATTCTATAGGTAATATCTATATATTAATTTATGCATGTTAGTGGGAAAGCTTTTTCACTCTGATTAATATTTTGGTTAATTAATCCTATTAAATATTATTAAGACTGTTCGACTTGTGTTTCCTACTTGGATACGTTCGGGAGCTAAACAAAATAACAGACAAAATCCATTAATTGTTCTTACAATTTTTTTTATTATTAAAAGTTATTTTGTTTTGTTCTGCCAAGTCGCCATCATTCATTACCAGCCTAGTTTTTGGACTCAGAGCCTCAAATTTTGACTACAGTCGCCAGTCTTCGCTACGTATTCAGACTTATCCCCATATTATTTATATAATTTTTGCATTATTGGTCAAATCTTTGAATATTGCTTCTTCCATTTTGGTTTGGGTTTTAGTGACAATTGCTAAGTTTAATTTTGGCTACTAATGTTGTCTCTCTACATACAAACAGCCTGTCTGCATGCCCAAAAAAAGAATGCGACATCATAGATAAGAAGAGTCAAGCAATGTTACAAATTTTGTGATTCATCGTCAATGGAAGTTTGCATGGTCAATATATAAAAAATATTATACATGATATACATATAAATTAATATACTCAATAAATTTTGGTACTACTATATACAATGTAAATATATAAAAAAAATTTTCTTGTAATGAGCGGGTAATCAGATTTATCATTTCATAAATTTTGTCCTGTTTAATTATTTCAATATTTAAATTCAATATTTCAAGATAAATAAATAATTTTTAATAGTTAAGTACCTCTTAATTGAAATGAATCAACAATTTCTTGAATTAAAAAGGTAGGGAACTTGTAATGGATATATTAAAATAATATTCTACAAGGCTGGTTATGCTAATTACCGTCCATCATTGGCGGGTTATAAGCTAAAAATTCCTATAATGATTGTTTCCCATAATGATTTAATAAATCAACAATCAAAATATTAATTAAGAATA